CCGCTGCGGGAGCAAAGCTCACGCAGGTCCGGGAGCCGGTCTTCTGTCCCCGGTGGGGCCGGGTGGCCGCCGGTTCTGGCGTCAGTGGCGTTACCGTAACGCTGTTGCTCCTGCTAGCCCCCGGCAGGGCGTAACCTCCCCCCCGTGGGGAAACGTCTTCACCCCTGCAATGGGGAAAGTCGTTTTTTCCCCCTTTTCCTCAGCGAGCAAGTGCTCCAGACGGCCGTCAGGATAGCCGTGTTGTGATTTAGTACGGTAATGGTTTAGTGACGCTGCATTCCCCCCGCCCGTTTAGGACCTGAATGTTGCAAGGCAGACCAGATGGTGGACGAGATGTGTTCCTCTTTTTGTTAATGCAGTTGATACTCTCTCAAACAGGCGTGCATGCCTCTGGTCTATGCGAGAGCTTTTTACACTTCAATCCGCTTAATGTCACTCGCTATGGAATTTAAATCTTAGTCGTTGTATTATTTTTTGGAATACGTAGCTACTCTAGTTTCTAAAAGCTTTATGTCTTTTACTTTACTTGGTTCCTTAGATTTTTGGTTTGAAGGGCTTTATTTACGTGGTTTCTTAGTATAAGACATGACTGTGGGTATTTTGGTACAGACAGATCTGGCCTTGATTTGCCTGTGCTCTGAGGAATGAAATCTGTCCTGTTATCTTAAAAACCTACTTTGAATCCGTTGAAGGAAAAAAGTGTGTTTTCTGTCTCAGGACTCTTATTTAAAACTAAAGTATCATAATGGTGCCAGTTTATACAGCATTGAAGTCCATTTCAGAACACGGATCTTCTGGTAGACTCTAATTTATGCAGCGTGGACTGCTACCAAGTCTTAAGATCCCTGTGCAACTGATATGGCACGGAATGGAGCATTCTCAGAACGAGCTTTCTGTAAGGCTGAGAAGATATTACAAAATGCTGCAGTGACCCTTGGTCAATATAAGCCAAAGAAGTTGCGAAAACACATGCTTGAGTTGGGTTGTTTAAGGGAGGGAGCAAGAATAAAGTTAGAATTAGTTTCTTCCTCCTTGTCAATATCAAGCACGTGGTTCTAGACTTTTTTTTTCATTTGAAGGGAAGGTAATAAGAACTGTGAATAACATATGTATGTCATAATAAAAGATGTCTATATAGCTGTCTGTAGTGCTTAAATTTTATACAGGGAAGAAAATGTATATTTAAATAACAACTGAGCAAGGTAGGAAAAGGTATAGAATAACATTCGTTTTTCCAGGGGGCATTCTGTTTCTATTGTAAAGGAACAGACATACATTTATTTTAAGAACTTAAATCACAACTTCTGATACTTGAAACAAAACCTGGTAAAGTGAGGATATCAGTTATGAATTTTAAATGTTGAATTACAAGCCACTGGAATTCTCTATTACATAATCTTGTAAATACAGAAAAACATTATATCTTGGAGTTGTTTACCTTTTTGTACTTTTAGTAGCAACCTGGAATACAATGACAAACGTGTTGCTTCTATTTCCTTATCTTGTTATGCTTGTTTTCCGTAGGACAGGCAGGCCCAAGGTGGCCTAATGGGTTAGTTATTGATTAACTAGTTTCCCAACATGGTCAGCGCTTTGAATTTCAGGTATAAATGACCAAGAGTTGCATTAATCTCTGATAACAAGTTCGGCGTGATCCCAATCCTCTTCTGGTTGGGGGAGGGGCTGGCTTGCATGTTCTGCAAATATAAATAGAAAAGAGGTGGGGCAAAGAAAAAAAAGTGCGAGTTGTTACATTGAAGTGTGGGCTTTTAGAACTGAAACAACTGTGCAGTAACCTCAGGTAAACATTAAAAAAAATGCTGTAGGTGAGCATCAGTAGTAATGACTGAAGAAATTGCTTATTTTCTAGTATGTAACAGGTACTCTGATGTCTTGCTATAAGGCAGTAGAGTTATAACAGTTTCTTAAATACAAATGCTAAATATGAGAGTTCAGAACAGTTTTCTAGACTATTCTGTTGAGTTTAATCCTTCCTGAAACAGCAATCTTGAGTGCCTCAGATGAAGAAAAAAAAAACTTTTAAAAAAAAAAAGTTATTTCAAATGTGTTGTGTTCATTTTTAAGAAAAATAGGATTTAGTCAATTTGAAAAGTTAAGGTGAGATTCCAGAACGGTCTCTAATATCCTTACTGATTTGGGGGCCTTATAGGAAGACTGACTCCTTGTAAAATAAAAAGTGCAAAACATACTGCAGAAGACCTTTCTATTCTTTCACAGTAATCTAGGGTGTTACTTGTAACTAGAATCAGCATAGGCTCAGATATCCAGAGATGATAGTGCTTTTCCTGACAATACCTCTGATCTACCTTATCTGAAAGACTTTTTGTTTTTTGCCTTAACTACCCTTCTGTTTGTACTTTGTGGAGTGTGTGCTTTTCTGTAATATGTAGTTGGTAATCCTATCAACTTTTGAATAACATTAATTGCATTTTGTGTTTTAGGGTAAAATCTTTGGAATATCTTTTCATGCGTTACCGCAATCACTTGTGCCAGAATATGGTTATATTCCGAGGTAAATTAACACTGTGTATTTAGATTTACGCTTGCTTTGCTCTCTTTATAGTATTGAACTCTTGTCAGAAGAGGGAACATAATATTTATTCCAGGCCTGATAAAGCTTATGGGGGATATAAGAATAGTTGCAGGTGGGGAAGGAGGGATGCAGAAGTTAGATGGGGAATTCAGAGCCACGGCTATCATTCAGTTGTATTTCTTTATGCTTCTTGTCATTGGGGAAAACTTTCCTATATATTAAGTTTTACCTATTTATCATGAAATAGGGTTTTTTGGGGGGAAAAAAAAAAGCTTTATTCTGGGTGTCAGAAGTATGTTACTGTTCTTTCCTCAGCTTTCTTGTTGATTCATGTGAATATTTGGAACAACACATTCATACCGAGGGACTCTTCAGAAAGTCTGGATCTCTTGTTCGTTTAAAAGCTTTAAAGGTATTCTCTAAAGCCTCTTTTTTTTTTTTTTTTTTAATAAGCTGCATTTCACTTGATCATCTGCATGTTTTAGTTTTTGGACTCTTTTCAGCCATATTTGAGTTTTAATATTGGAAGTAGACTGGTAACATTACCTGCTTTAGAAATGAGAGGAGATCTGGTCCAGAAACTGGTGAACCTCACCTTTTTTAGTCCAGAAACTGGCGAACCCCACCTTTCCCTGCCCTTCCCCCCCCCGGGAAATTTTTCAGCTTTCCAGATGGTGAGAATACACTTGTGACTAAACAAACTTGTTAGCAGTTATGCACACTGGATACTGTGAGGATATTTTTTTTAGCAGTGTTCTCCCAGAAGGATGCATACATGGGAAACCTGTGAATTAACACATGTGGTCTGACAACATAGTCTGTGTCTCTTTGTAGATACTGAAGTTAGGTAAAACATGACAAGGCTGAAACTAAAAATGGGGAAGATGTGACTGTCTTTTCTGGTACAGGCTAGAGGATTAGTGCCTAAACTTAGAAATCTGACAGTATGTTGAACACTTCAAATCACGTTTCTTATGAACAATTTCAGAGTAAACTGGATCAAGGTGAAAACTGCCTCTCAGCTGCGCTGCCATGTGATGTTGCAGGGCTTCTTAAACAGTTCTTTAGAGAGCTGCCAGAACCCATCCTTCCACCTCACCTGCAGGAAGGCCTTCTCAAAGCTCAGCAGCTAGGAAATGAGAAGAAAACTGCAACTGTGTTGCTGTCATGTTTGATGGCCGACAGAACAATTGAAGCTTTGAGATACTTTTTCAACTTTCTGAGAGCTGTGTCCCTAAGGTCAGTGTAAAGAGACTGCTTGTAAACAGCTCCCAATTTCTTTAACGACTTCTCTTTCCAGGCAACTGCTGTAACTTGCTGTGAGTGGTTTGTGACTTTAAACTTTCTTACTGCAGTCATTCACTAGAATTCAGTCGTGGTCTTTTCTTTCATAAATCCAGAGTGTTTTCTTTATAAAACCTTATTTTGCTGGAGACTTGACTTGGTTCCATTCTTTCATAGCTGTATTCCTCATGCTTCTTTGGAAAGCAAAAGAAGTGACTGATAAAGTTAACATAATCTAACTGATACCTGGCATTCCCCAAAACTGAGTAGGGTCTCTAACCTCTTGATTTCAATAACGTAGGGATATGATTACCTAGCCTGGGGTGCTTAAGTCTACACATTAATCTCTGTATGTGAGAGAGTAATTCACTCAAGCGAATTACTCCATTGGTTGGGTTTGGTTTTTTTTCAACTACATTTGTCTTATTTGGTCTTTTCTCTCTCTACTGCTTATGTCCTGATAATTTGTGTAAAAAAAACTTTTCTTGTTAAGATCCAATGAAAACAGAATGGATAGCAGTAACCTGGCAGTGATTTTTGCACCCAACCTCTTGCACTCGAATGAAAATGAAAAGATGTCAGCCAGTACAGAAAAAAAAATTCGCTTGCAAGCTGCTGTTGTGCAAACACTTATTGACCATGCAGCAGAAATCGGTAAGATGACAAATGTTTATCAAAATGTCCTGTTGCACATACTTGTATACAGCTTTTCTTTTCAACTTTTTAAGTAACGTCAAAAAAAATATTTCTCAACTAATTCAGGACAAGTACCAGAATTTATCTTGGAAAAGATTCCTGCAATGTTAGGTGTTGATACCTTTCAATCTACTCCCTCACTGTGGGGCCACGAAGACAGTGAAAATGAATCTCCCAGTGAATGTAAGAAGAGGAGGCACCGAAGCGTTGGAGGTAGGTATGTTGTGTGAAAGTTTCAGCAACTAAAATAGAATTATTTTGAGACTTCAGGTATGCTGATCCTAAGCACTTGCTTCTTCCACAAGCAGAATAGATGCTTGTGAAATTTGTTGGGTTTGATTTGCAAAATCTATGTAAGACTTCAGTAATCACATCACTTTATTGTATATTTACTCTGAGTTTATTCTAGTGTGTCTGTTGTCTACCAGAGAAGCTGTTTTGCTTGTGTTTGGATTTGTGAAGCCAGAATAACGTTCCAGCTTTTTCCTGAGTCAACTTCAGATCCTGTTGCAGAACGCTGATAAAGTGAAATTTTCTTTTTGCTAGTTTTGAAATTATACTTGGACACTCAAAGATATTGCATACTTTGATAAGTTAGGTCATGAGAAGGCAAGGATATAAATGGCATGTGTGTTTTGAATTAGAGAAACTAATTTGTGTTTCGAAATGTAACTCTGAATTGGATATTATTGGATACTCTGTGCTCTGATATCACGGATCTGTTGCGTTGGTTTTGGGTTGGTTTTTTTTTTTCAATTTAGCTATTCAATAGGGGTGGGTTTTTTGCCAAATATGGACAAACAAATGGTATATTCTCTGTTCTGCATTCTCTTTGAGGAAATACTGTGGAATACGTATGCTTGACTTGATTCAAATCCACTATAACACTGATCTTGTATGTATTGCTATAAAAATATGAGTATGTATTTAGCTTATGTACCTGGAATATTAATTCTGACAGCAATTGATATTAAGGCTTTATTATTGTATATGTTTAGCCAAGGCATGGGGTTTTTGTGTAATATACTTTACCACTCTGAAGAAGGGAGATCATCCTGGAGTTGCAAAGTGATAGATGTTTGTGAATGTTAACGTTTTGAGGAGAAGCAGTTAGAATTTGTTAATTCTGTGGAATAGGTTCTGGTAGTAGGCAGCTTCTACTCTTTCTCCAGATGTAGGAAAACACAGTACTACTACACTTCATCTATTTTTAAAGATGAGTTTTTAAAAACTACCTGATATCTACCAGACACCATAAAAGAAGTACCGCAGGCTTGTAGTTTGCTAAGCTTTGCTATGAACATGTGGAAATACAACTGTAGGTTGCAATAGAACTTAATAAAAATACTTCCATTTTACACTTTTAAAAATGGGAAAAACAGTAAAATTTCATGCATTTACTCTGCTGGGTTTAATTTTGCCTTAAAAAAACAAAAAAAACCCACCCCAAAACAAAAACGGGTAGTTCACAGAAAAGTTGTACATTATTTCTTCACAAGACCAAAATTTCATACTTCTATTTGGGCCTGACTTCAAAGCTCTAAGAGCTTTTCAGCTTCAAGATGACTGTCCAGTAAAGTGAGAAAGTCTGTGAGACTTTCTGTGAGAGAGACTTCAATGGAAACCTTCTAGGTTTGCCTACAAGAAATCAGAAGGCCTATGATTTTATAATGACCAGTAGAATTTTCTACAAGAAACTTCTGTTGTCTGTGCATGAATCTTTTTTGTTTTTTAAGGAAAACAGAATTTTTCAGCTATTGTGAAAGCAACAAAAACTATTCTGCTGAGAAGATCTGGACTATAGTTTTCTTTACATCAAACAACCATTTAAACTGATTTGCTTTATTTCTCTCTGAAAGAATACAAGCTAAATGAGTTGAAAATAGAGCAAGACAAACTTCGTATTTAAATTTGATTGCTCGGTGTGTCTTGCATTTCAGATATTGTTAGTGGAGCATTGAATAAATTTAAATCTAACAGAACACCCTCCACTACACCTCAACAAGGCAGAAGCGGTAGGTATTGGTGTATTTGTACTAAATAAAGCCCATGCAGTATCTTCTGGATTTGTCAACTATATTCCACAAATTTTTTTAACTGAAGAACTAGAACTTAGTTGAAGATAAGTGATTACATCTAAATTGTTTAAAACTTTGAATATAGATACATATTTGTTGAGGATACTGCATTTACTGTAGTTCTTGGAGCAGCTACAATCACTGCAGCAGCGGGCTGTGCGGTTCTAGGATTACACGACTGAACTTGTGCTTTTTATCTGATGCACACTAAGGCTTCAGTGCAGTAGTGCAGCATTTTATCATCTTGGGAATGAATTTGCCAGGACTGAAATTCTTTCACTCTTACTCTATCTCTTACAGAAGATTACTATACTTTTTTCCTCCCCCCCTCCTAATACCTATATTATTTTATTAATGTGTGGTTTTGGATTTTCCTTTCTGGTACTCTAACTTGCGAAAAAACCCACAAAATAAAAAAACAAACCCTAAGCTATACCGATTGCTTTGCCTGTTCAAAACGCATGCACTTTGGCTAAGCTTTTACAACAATTTTCTTTGAGTTTAAAAAAAACAAAATAACTGTTTATATTTTAGTAAACTCTCGACAATTTAAGCTGTTACTGCAGATTTGGTTTTCTTAATTTCAGTCCTTTCATCAGTGACTCCGGTGGTTCTTACTCCAAGTACCAAGCGTAAACTTCCAACTGATTGCTCTCAGGGCATGTCCAGCAAGAAAAGACGATCTTTTAAGCATAGTTTTGCTTTTGAGTTGTTACCAAGTAGCATTTTTAACAGCAGCTCAACACCAGCATCAGGTACAGTGCCTTCATTTTTTCCTTGCTGCTTGAAGTGGTTGTTTATGGCTTTTAATTTAAATGTACAGCCTTTTGTTCTTGTTAGGCAGTCATTGATAATCTTCACTTGACAGTGTTCCTTGCACTACTTTCCTGTCTTAATAAATAGTCTATATTTATTCATTTATTCATTCATTCTATATTCATCAGTGACTGTCGTGGTACATGGATTGAGCAAAAGCAAAATTCTGTTTCTTGTTTTCTGTTATATTAATCCCTCAAATCTGCAACCCTCATGTCCTTTTATCTTTTTCAGTCCCTCTGTATCACCTAGGTAATACTCATGTTTCTCTCTTGGCACACAAATCCATGAAGACTGCTTATGCTTCCAACCTTTTGAAAGTTGTAGCCTTCTTCCATCTCCTAAATACTTAAATAGCCGGTCTTAGCTCTATGTGAAATGTAATTGTTGCTATTATAAAGGTTCTTTCTTGAATCCAATCACCTCTTATTTTCTCTAGATGCTAAATATTCTCAAAATTCTACAGAAAAAGTTTTACTTTTGTTTGGTAGTTCTTTAATACCACTTCATTCCACTAGAGTTCTTCCAGCTGTCAGGCTCTTCTGCAAATCCTATTTTATTTTTGTTTGGTTCCTTAATGTGCTGCCAACTGAAGTTAGAGGAAAAAGAAATTTCTAGAGTGGCTGGGTTTGTTTTGCCTGAAGATCAATTTTTTTTCCGCAGTTGAGTGGTATAAAACTTCTTGCTTTTGTTTAAGTCATTTCATGCTCACCATGAAATTCTTGTTTCTATGGATAAGCAAACCAAAGCAATTATGTTCTCTAAAGATAGTAATGCATCTGTTTGATAAAAAAGTTTAGTAGAATAGCAACTCTCTCATTTATTGTTGCTTTAACTGTTCTGGCTAGGTATGTAAAAAAAGCACACTGCAAATAATATTAAGACTGAATCTAATTTTTCTTATTAAGCTCTTAATTTGAGGAACTGATCTGATGATAGCAGCGTGGAAACTTAACTGAGGTAGTGATATCAGTAGCACACAATTAATTGCAATCCAGCTGCTTCTATGGATTCTACAAGCAACAGCTTCATTTAATATTAAATAAAAGTAGAAGTCAAAGTAATTTCAAGCCAGCACTCCACAAAATAAACAAACAAATCTGTGCTGTTTAAAAACCTATTCTTTATTGTATTAACTGTTAACTCTTTATCTGAACAAATGCAACTATTTTAAGATCCTGTAAATATGATTTTGTTCCTGTAGTTCAGTTTGAAGCAAGCCCTTGTATGTCTCTTGAGTCATCACAAACCTCACTGTCTCCTTCAACTGGTGGTGAAAATCATCTGCCTAGTACAGGGAACAGAAGAAGTAAAAGACATGCAAGCAAAAAATTATACAGGTAATTTGCCTTAGCTTTCAGAAACTAAAGATAAATTGGAAAGTCAAGACCCCTTAACTAATGATGTGTAAAATCTCAATCTGTCTTTAAAATTATCTTTTCTGGTGTTCAAAACATACCAAATTTTTATAGTAATCTTAAAATCACCAGATCTTCCAATGTGGCAAAATGGAGCTCAAAACAAAATAAGATCTGGTATAGTAGCCTCCTGTGCCTATTATAAAAGCTTGGCAAGAAGGCAATAGAAGAAGTAAAACTAGAGGAAATAACCATAAATAAGTGTCAGGATGTTTTCATTGACCTCCTAAAGAGTTTTTTGTGTGTTACTTTTTCCCCTCTGTCCTCCCAGGGCTGAATCAGGAAAGACAGGTTGTTTTTCTCCAAAGATTAGCCGAAAAGAAATGGTTCGTAGGTCGTTACGCTTAAAGTTTGGTTTGGGGAAAAGCAACAGAGAAATGGTAAGTATTCTGCTTCTAACCCAGTCTTCTTGTTACTGTGCAAATTTTAATCCTAAGTTTTGGGCACTGCTTTTCAGTAGCAGGAAGGACTTATTTGGTAATGGAGGGATCACAGCATAACTGGACCTGCTATCAAGTACAAGAAGGCCTAGGTTTATTTTCATAGCAGTAACTGATCAGCTTGTACTGGGTTTGGCTGGGATGGGGCAAGAGGCTGGGGCAGGGGACAGCTGACCTGAATTGACCAAGGAACTATTCCATGCCATATAATGTCATGCTCACCAATAAAACTGGGATGGGGGAAGTTTTTGCAAAGCAGCCACTGCTCAGGGGCTGGCTGGGCATCAGTCTACTTGTCATGAGTGATTGCTTTTGCATCACTTGTGGGTTTGGGGATTTTTTTTGGTCCACCCGTCCCTCTCCCCACCCCCCCTCCCCCTCCTTTTGCCTTTCCAGTTCTCTCCCTCATCCTGCTGGGGAGTCGGGGGAGTGAGCAAGCGACTGGATGGGAGCTTACCTGCCAGCTGGGGTCAACCCACCACACTTGTGATCAGTAGGTCTCACAGTTCCTGAAATTCTGATATTACAGAGCTTATGCACAGAATCACTATGTTCAGAGTATGGTTAAGCCTATCTTACTGCAGGTGGGTTGTTCCCTACCTAGGTCTACAGAGAATCGAGGGAAGATGAATTATGGCCAAGAAAAGGCTGCTGTGGCTGATTTGCATAGCTTTTTCCTGGAGGTTTCTCTGTAAATGGGATTCCATTACTTTTTATATGAAAGTAATTAACATCCTTTGTTTGTTCAAGAATATTGTATCAGGATGTGCAGTTGGTAATAGATCTGAAAATATTGGAAGGCGTCTTGCAAGTCAACAAGGTTTGGAAAGCAGAACTGAATGTGCAAAAAGAGATGTACTCTTCAGCCCATGTGTCAATGAAAAATTCCTTAAGAAAGGTAAGTATCTAACAGAATATATTACATGGGGGAAACTTTTGCTTTTGTAAAGCAAAAGTAACTTTATGGATAAAGGTATAAAAGCAATTGGATTAAAAGTGCTTCTAACTAGGAGGACAAAAGTTACTTGAATGTTAGTGGCTCCTGGGGAAAAAGAATCGGTTTAGGACAGGCTTGTTGTGTTTCTAGTGTATTTTAGTAGTTCTCTTTTGTTAGTTATCTCACTTTTAGCAGGATGAGATATGTGATTTCAGTTCTTAATATTACAACTTTTTTTTCACATCTCTGAAACTTAAGGGAGTAATGGCATCTTTAAATTCAGTGCTGCTTTGATAATTGGGGTTTCTTAGCAAGAATTTTGCCTATAATGACCAATAAAATTGCGAGGTGATATTCTTAAACACTGTATATTTATTTTAAGGTTCAAAGAATGTGAGCAAGTCAGAAGAAAACTTTCTAACTCCAAAACGTCACGATAAAGTAGTTCACCGAATGTCATGGAATAGTCCTACTGTTAC